TGCAGGCAGCTTCTGATTTACAGATTAATGGACTACAGGCTTTGCAGGTTTCACTGTACATGGTTTGTGTTGCTTCATCTGTCGGTGGCATGTCTTCAGCGGTTAGTTTGACGAGCTGATCTGTTCATTTACTCTTCATTTCTGTGTTTGTAATTGGTGAAAGGTTTCTCTCAGTGAGCAGTGACCACTAAGATGTTCAAATACACCTGTTTTTTTCTCCCCTGCTTGAATCAAAAGGAGAACTGCATGTCGTTTTAGATGTACTTTGGAGAAACCTAAGCTAAACCATTTGAAACACTTTTAGCTTTGACTCATCATTTTTCCTGTAAAAAAAAAAAACTGAACCTGATTTGTAAAATCAAAGCAACCTCTTGTAAAACAAAGAGCGACGAGGCATTAGACAACCTTTCTTGTTGCAGTTGTCTGGTATTGTGGTATTTTGTGAAAATAAAATATTGTGTGAATTTTTCTGCTGTGCGCACAATCTTCAAATATATTGTGTGTGTTTGTAGAAATGTGATGGAGAAAATAAAATATGCAATTCCAATTTGATGTGTAACAACATATTGATTTCTCTGTTGGACAAAAGCTGTAATGTTTGCAATAATATGGATGTTAAACTGAACCTCCAGGATTAGAGCTGGAAAAAAATTGGCTTGGACAAAATTCATAAAGCTTTGGATCTGTAATGCAATTTTTACTTTTATCATGTTTGGAAAAGTTATTTTGTAACTTTAAGACTGAAGGTGATGTAGCAGACACTCTTACTTAAAGGTAACAGCAACCTTCACAATTTTTGGTAGTCTGGCAAATATTTTTTAAAGTATGAGCATAAATTTATGTCATCACAAATGCATTCTGAAACTAAAACTGAACATATAAACTTTGCACTTTTGTTTTAATTAATTAAGATACGAGTCAGATGATTATTCTCTGGAAAACTCATCAAACGAATGAGGACAGATCAAACACGATAACACAGGAGGAGTTGTTTCTCCACATAGTGATTCTTTGTTTCATACCAAATCCACCTGTAATGACTCTTGCTAGAAACATTTTTTAAATCTGAGTTTCCCCTGAACAAAGACGAAACTTTGTTCAGAAGAACATAAGAATCATTTGTATTCAAAGTCTAAATTAAACTTAGAATATAAATCTGTAGTCAAATACAAAAAGCTACAAGAGGAAGAAAATACAAATTCTCCCTCTTCAACGGGAGCTGGCGGTGCTGTCCAATTATCCCCTTCATGTAATTAGTTGCTCTGAGCCCTGGCCACCATCTTTTGTCTGGGCAGATCTCCAGGGGTCATGGAAGGTAAGAAACCAGTAAAATACACAAGTATTAATGTTCCCAAACCAAAGCTGAGAAAAGAGCTTACAACAAGTGAACTAAACATTTGTGCTGACAAAGAATAAATGTATTTAACCCACTCAATAAAAGTGTCATTGAGTTTTCCTAATGAAAAAGCTTAAATGCTCAAATAGTAAATTCATGTGCATGAGAGAGAACCTTTGGTATGACTATGGCCTTATACGAGTATTTACACGCCAGAGACATTTTAATAGTTTGTCACTTTTAATAGCTTGGTGTGTTTCTATTGAGATTTTATATGATAATTTCATATGATAATAAACCAACACAAAACTAACCAGTGAAACTGTTTTTTTTTAACAAATAAATATCCAAAGAAAAGTTTCCATTTATCTTTGTATTCTGAGTATTGACTCAGAGCAAGAGCCAGTGCAGGTACAGCAGTGTACCTGCAGCTGTTCATTGTTGCAACAACTCTGGACAGCTTTCATTCTGAAGAACAACTTTCCCACACTATGATGATGCCTTTACCATGAGTAATGGGGAAGATCATGTACTCCTAGTCAATCAGCAGGGCATTTATTGAAATATTTCTCACCAGACTCTGTGAGTGTACGTGCCTTTTTAAGGATAACCATTGGCTTTCTTTCAAGAAAACACCTTTTCTTGAGTCTCTTCCTTAAAGGCAAGAAGTCATGTCAACACATTCTTTTGAACTGTGGATTTTTGCAGCTCCTCCAGAATCATCGTGGACCTTCCAGCTACTTTATTTCTCTCCTTGTCAAATAGTTTGTGTGTTGTTCTTCAACAACACACAAAATACAAAAGTAGCGTACACTTGATCAGAATGTGAGTTATAGTTTGTCATAAAATAACCCCAGACTCTCTTTATTTTCTGTATTCCACCATGTACACGGTTCAGACTTGTGTAACTCCTATAGAAAACAGTGTTCCACCAAGGAAGGCCAATAAAGTGAGACAGTTTTAGGCTAAGTAACCCTATCCCTAAACAAATGGCATCAAAATATCCAAATTTGCAACAGAAACAAAGATAAAACCCTAAATGACCTATCTAAACAGTTTATCAGCAAAAAAGTTGTTTTCGGGACGAGTGTGACTTTAAAAACTAGTTGTACTGTAATGCCTCATTTTGACTCAAATAAAATGGACAGAAGGCAAAATGAAATATTCTTGTTCTATAAAAGTTCCAAAAATATTTTATCATTTCATTTCATCTGACAAACTCTGCAGAGAAGGTCCTCATTTAATCAGTGTGCTCAAAACCAGTAAGCTATCTTTCTACTAGTGGTTTAATGACCTTAACATAATTCATAACTCATTTTTTATTAGAAAAATTCAAGTTAAAGTTTAATGAATAAATAAAGCACAATAGATGTACTTCTTCTAGGTTGCCACTGAGAGGCGCCCTTCTCCCTCCTACAAAAACATTTCCTTGTCGCATAAAACAGGAAGTTCAAGCCCTAAGAATACCCTACAAGAACAAAGTTTAACCCCGTCAGACACTTTTCTCATGAGGAACTTTAAATCAAAAGTAATTTGGTGGATGAACACACATCAACACCCTCCTTCACATTTTCCAGATCAGACAACCAAGCAATCGTTTCATTGCCTCATTAATAACAAGCCAACAAAAGTTGTGAATAACTAAAGTGGGAAGTTTTTTTTTTTTTTCCGAAGAAAGTCAAGTATGCTTTTGTTTTCAGTCGTCTTGACTAAATACCAGGTTTTGCTCCATTTCTATTTTGATACGTCTCTATAAGTTGTTAAAATCTACTGAAATTTTAATAATTTATTTTGTAAAATAGCCTAAGCTCAATCACGTTGGATGGAGAGCATTCGTAACTAGCATTTTTATGCATTCTCATAGATTTTCAAAAAGATTTGTGTCTGTACTTCGACAAGACCAGTCTTACACATGATATGCATTGATTTAAGTGAAGTAGCAGTAATCTTTAGAGATCTTTGAAGAAATCTAAGGTCAGATGAGTACAATATAAGCTAAATGGACAGAAAGCCAGATTTTGGAAAACATGTCCTAGTCAGATGGACAAGTAAGTCAATGCACAAAAAGAAATCACAACTCATTATCTTGCATCTTTTTGACCTGAAATATATCAATACTGAAGTAGTCAGTATAGTTTCAAAGTATATTAACTGACTGATCTGGAGGAACTAAAGAAAAATGGGCAGACATTTTTGTTGATTTGTGTGAAACTGGTCAAACACTAAAAGACTTGAAGCTGTACTGTAACTGAAAATGGCTCTTCAAATAATAATTTTCTAAACCTTTTTTAAAATACAGATCCGTTTCTTTCCACTTAGACCTCACCAGTCTCACAAACATTATTTTAAATACATTTCATTTTGTACCGCAAACAGGAAGTCACTGGAGAGCTATTAACAATACTGTTTCTGCTTATGAGGTTCCTGTCAAAGGTCGGGATGCAGAACTCTGAACCAACAGAGCGAATCAACAGCTGAAGATGCAATTCAGGGAAGAAATCGGTTGTATCCAACACACCAGAAACGATCTGTGGGTGATTAACAGTCTTCTGCAGTACTTGACTGCTGCAGAAGGCTGTTAATTAGCTGTTTTGGAGTAGAAGCACATCACAAAAAAAAAAAAAAAAAAAGACTTAAAATGACTTAAGTCATTTTAACCCATCTGCAGCAGCTAGCCCTAAACATCCTTATCCACCACATGCTCTCCCATACCAAAAGGCAAGTGTCAACACAATCGCACACAGTCAGTTATAATATTTACAGACAAGAAAATGTACAGAAAGGAATAACAATCCACTGATCTCAACATAGTGCTTGATTACCAGTTTTTCACAACCCTGGTCCTCAAGTCAAATTGACCTGCATGTTTTCAGATGATTGTGTTTCACAAAACCCAGTTTATCAGCCATCAATTGAAATCATGAGTGCTGAATTAGGAAAATGCCTGAAACTTGCAGGGCAGTGAGGACCAGCGTTGAGCAACACAGGATTAAACGTTGACATTTCAGTCATTAGAATTCAACCACAAAACAACATTGATTCAGTTACATATTTTGAAAATTGGTTAATTGACTAGAATTGGATGATTGTTTGACGGTTTATCCACCACCAATCATCAATCTCAACCGTAACTTCAACCTTTTTGATCATAATTCAATATTGACTTAATAAGCCAACAACGAAGTGACCGTGTGGCTGTAAATAGGGGGGTGGACTGCTTCGCTCTTTTTCATGACTAATAGATGTTTTTTTTATCAACCCATTACAAACAGCCAGTAAGTCAATGCACAAAAAGGAATCACAACCCATTATCCTCATCAGTGCTTAATGTAGTGCTTAATTTAAAACATGACAAACCCCCACTCTATAGTAAAATCCTGTCACCTAACGCTCAAAGTGGAGATGTGCCAAATGACCATAGCAGTTCCGCTTTGCCACTTTCACAACTCCAAGCAAGCTTTAACTTGCTCCCCAGATCTCCATCATGAAATGGTTGAACAACCGGATTCCAACCAAAGCAAGGACGTCCCTTCACTTAACACAGCAAGACACTCATCTCTTGCGAAATTTTTTTTTTTTCATGCAACTCCCAAAATGTCACAGGAGAGGAAGAGGCAGGCTGAAAAAGGTCTGCCCCTCCTTTGTTGACTCATAAACTCTTTCCACGGCTCCTCTGTTCTCAGTCAGCAGAATGGCATTTGCAGGGAAATACCAGCTTGAGACTCAGACGAACTATGAAGAGTTTTTGGAAGCAATTGGTATAAAGATGTCTTCATCTGGACGTTGATTCAGTGAGCTATGATTTATTCAAATATTGAATTATTTTTCATTGGACAATAAATTTCTCCACCACAGGGCTTCAGTCGGCTAAGACAGAGCACAAAGTCGTGACTGAGGTGGTTCAGGATGGCGACAACTTCACCTGGACACAAAGCATCCCTGGCTGGACCTGGACCACCAGTTTCACATTGGGTCAGGAGTGCGAGATGGAGTCGATGAAAGGTGTCAAATTTACGGTGAGTCCCTTTCGCAAGAATGAAAAGTTGAAAAGAACTGATTGTTTTATTTGAGACATTTTGATCTTTGTGGCCTGCAGGGCACTGCAAAAATGAATGATGGGAAGTTGTCTCTGAAGTTTCCAGAATATTTCTTCACCGCAGAGATTGTTAATGAAAAACTAGAAATGGTGAGAGGAGGCTTTGAAACTCTAAAAGTGATTTAAACCCTGTCAGTTATAGCTTGTCATAAAATAACCCCAGACTGTCTTTTTGTCTGTATCCCACTATGTACACGGTTCAGACTTGTGTAACTCCAGGAGAAAAGAGTGTGACTTTTAAGAGAGTGAGTGGGAGGATCTAGCTCTGCGGGACCCAACATGTCTCCTTGGGGAGACGAACGACAGACAACGGTTGCTCCGGCGTCTCAAAGCAAGAGAACGAAAGTTACGACATTAAACCACGCCACAAGCAGACTGTCAGCATCACTCAAATGAGTCGGTCATGAGTTTTGAGGTTTGATTTTTGCAGAACTGATGAAATTACAGAATGTATTGTGTGAATTTCTCCACTTTAACAGGACATGCATTGAAACTAAGAAAAATCCATAACATGTTAATTATCAATTTTCCCCAAACTAATCCTTACTTCTGACATAATTATAATGTTTTAGCGTGATGCTAATGTTTCTGTTGTATACCTATTTTACGTATACATGCCTGACAAACTGCGAAGAGTTCTTCAGGGAAACATCTCAATTGATCTCTTTCCATTTGTCAGCAGGATGCAGCAGAATGGGATCACAGCAATTATATATCCAGTAATTGAACAGTTTGCCATTGTGCAAAATTTGTATTGATGGTGATGTGTCATTTCATTAAAAATGAAGTAAATTAAAGAATTATCAAAGGAAAAAAACTCTCACTTATTCATTCATCCAAAAGCACCCAAGCAAATTGATTTACTCAGTTTATGTTCAGCAGTGGAAATAACACCTCCTGCTGTGTGCATGCTGTAAGCACTGAAAGAAGATATTGCTGCACATTCAGCAAGGTAATTACTGGATCTTGGGGTATAAATAATAATAGTAATGGTAATAAAAAGTGTTGTCTGTTAATCTGCTGAGGCGGCAGATAAAGGTCTCATGACCTAAATGTAACTCATTTTCTTTTTTAGAAAAAAGTCTAACTTAAATAAAGCACAATAGATGTACTTCATCTTGCTTTCCCCTGAGAGGCGCCCTTCTTCCTCTTCCAAAAACGTTTGCTTTTCAAATAAGAGGAAGTTTGAAACAAAACATGGCATGATGAGTGAATTGATGAGCGTCAATATAAAGGAGAAGCAAACTAATAACAGGAGATAAAATAATAAAACCAAGAAATGACTAATCAAAGGAAACTAAATGAAAATGCACGAAGAACAGAATACGAGAATTAATTAAGAAACTAAATTAAATACAGAGGAATAAATTTGTATGGCAAGAACTTTCGAGGAATAATTAATGCAGGGGACTGTATGGCAAGAACAAACAGACATTATTTACAGATAAAGGGTAAAATAATATTGTGTAGTAAGAAACTTGTCGCTTATTTATGTTTTTAATTGCATTTATTTTACATATTTATTTCTTCAATATTATTTTTCATGTCAGTGTTAAAGTCATGATGCTGGTAAGTGATTCCATGACACTTTCAATTTGAATCAATAGGATTTGACTAAGAGCCAGGTTTGCTCTTTATCATTTCCGTACAGTAAAACTATTGATCTATAAATCAATAGAAAGATCTATTGAAAAAATATCATCTATGGTTTTCTGTCTCATATTGTATGGCATTAAAAGGATCTGGAACTTGTGTTCCAGATCCTTTTAAACAATATGAGGGATAAATTTGTTATATATTTTCAGAGTTTGATACCAAACTGCTAATGAAGACTGAGACTCTTATGGAGAGTGAACATTTAATTTTCAAATGACAATAAATAACTTATGAAATAATTATTTAAGTGTGACATTAATTTATTAATACTCTTCACTATTCATAGATCTGTGTCTTTTGATTCATCTTTAAACAAGTTTATTTAAAAAATCTACAAGAAAGTTTTGTAAAATACATTTTTCTTTATCTTTGTTTTTTTTGTGTGTGTGCAGATCATTACCGACTTCCAACTGTGCTTTCTACTGAAAGAGACAATCTGCCTTCAGTGAAACCACCAGTATGATCCACTTTTCTGTCGAAAATCAGCCAGTTTCAACCACATTTATTATCTTCCCTTATGGCTCATAGTTAAGTCGCTTACTTAACTACGAACCATTTACCTAAAAAACGTTTTAAAACATTACAAAATTACAGAATTGTTTCAATTTTCCCCAATTTGTTTAGAGGAAAAATCAACTTAAATAGCAATAAAGCTGAACTGATAATGTGCAGTGGTTGCATAAAACAACAGTGATCAAATTGTGTCTTCACATGCAAGACAACAGCACAGTGTGGCTTCACCCCCTAAGAAAGTTCTGTCATCTGTTGGCTGTTATCCTGGATTACGTCACAGCGTTATGGCAGCACAGCGCTTCCCATACAGAATTATTCTCTAAGTCCGTTGAACAATACAGAATATAAGCAAGCAAAGATCTAATTTATTATATTTTTATACAATCGTAAACCATAAATAGTGTTAAAATGTAATTTTTTTTGTAACTCACATATTTTCTACATTACTATAACAATGACTATGGTTGGGTTTAATTCTCTTTCATGCTCTGTCTTCAGTGTAAAACAGTTCAGGACGCCCCCTTGTGGATTTAAATGATCCTTTCAGTCCTTCAGAGCCTGAGATTTATTGCTGGTGTTTTTCAGAGAAGAAAACATTTGAAACCCATTACTTTAGAGCAGGAAACTCTCATGCAACAGAAGCATGTTTTCTGATTACTGGTTCAATACAAATACAAGTTTCAGACAAAATGGACAATTTTCAGACAATTTTCGGCAGGTAAATCTGTCAATGTAACAATCAAAAAGCCAAATGACAAACTCGTATAGCATTTTAAAACTCGAAATGCACGTTTCACTTTACGCTGACCCAGAAAAAGAGCTGTTGAATATAATAATTTCCAACTATGAGCTCTCATTCATTTCGCAACATTTTTCTGTTGGATAATAAATTAAGGAACAAAAATAAATAAATCTGAAAAGCCACTTTGGAGTCGAAAGAGCCGACTCTTTTTAGAGATCCGAGGAAAAAGAGCCGGTTCTCTAAAAAGAGTTTGAAAAGACAAAGTCCTGCAGTGGACAATAAACCTTTGGTATAAATAAATTGGGGAAAAATCCATTAAAAGTGAACGAAAATCTTAGCTGCAGCAAAACTGTTGACAGAGTTGTGATATCTGCAGAAAGGGATGCAACCACTGCAATAACTCAACCTTTCTTTTATCCCTGATCTGAAACAAGAAAATATCTGTAATCACTTTTAGTATATAGGTGGTAAATTGAGTCATTATAAACAAATACTTATCATGAGAACCCTACCCCCACACACTCACACTGGACTGTGTGTTTTCCATGATTTCATTCTGTGTCCAGTGTCAAGATGAAGGCAGTGAGGCCAGCATTGTATCAAAGCATAATGTCTCATGTGTAACAGAGTCTCCCATCACTGAGTGGGCCAAACACTTTGCAACTCAGAAAGCTCTGACTGGACTGCAGAGGCGAGGATCAGACCAAGCAGATCAGAGGCTAAATGATAGCTCTGTCAGACATCTGGTGAGTGGCACAGCTCATAATCTTAACATTTCACCCTTCTGTGTAAAAGGAATAGGTTCAAAAGAGTTGGTTCAAATTTTGGGGGAAAAAAGTACATAAATAATGTGATAGAAAACATGTCCCAGAAATCAACTCAAATGTGGGTTTATTTTGTCATGGCACAATGATAAAACATGTTTATCATTCAGTGTCAAATAAACCAAGACTACAAGTCGTTATAAGAAATAAAAAAAATAAATGTCGTGGTGTCATTTCATCACTATTACAGAGAACACGTGTTGTCTGGTGAGGTGAGTGGCATCAGCACCGTTCATGGTTAGGACACGGAAAACAAAAACATTTAAAACTCAAAGCTCCAAGTATCCTGGGATACTTCTCATTTGTAGCATATAGCTGCAATATGCAACATATTCACTGTGTTCAGAGCCTAATGCCCTCTAGTGGAGATCAAGTCAAATTACACGTTTAATTAGAAAAAAAAAAATAAGTTAACGTTGAACCAGTGGTTTACATGAGTCAGTGATGGCTGTGGTCAGCAAAATCCCAAAGACAACTTATTGCACCTTTTGACACCTTAACAAGAAGTTGCAAACAGAAAACTAACAAAAAAAACAAACCTAATTCACGCCAACAGTAGAAACAATAAAATTAAAACGTAATTCAAATATATGGAATGTATAAAATGTAACAAACTTGTACAAAGAGGAAGAAAAAAGAGGACAGAGTATTATTCATTTCAGACATAGACGTTAAAAGTAGTTTTTAGTGAATGGAAGAGGTTCACCAGGCTGTAACAGACTGACCAGTGAGAGCTGCAGCTACTGAACGCCTCGCATCGGGAGAACTGTTCGCACGCGTTCAGGGACGTGATGTAAAGCAGCCATTATGCCCCCCAGAGTCCACAACAAACAACAATATGGTTAACTTTGAAGCCAAAACATCAAACCCTCATTTTGAACATTTTAGTAGTTTAACTTTTCAGTGCCTGCAAAGCAAGCGAACAGCAATAGTCCAAAGTAAACACACATAGTGTAACTAAAAATCTAGGTTTGGTGCCAGCAACTGTGATGTTTACTTCTCTGCCTCGAATAGCAGACAACATAGAAAATTAACTTTGTTTAAGAGATACTGAATTTTTTATTTTAAGTGAAATTCTACAAAGTTATCAGTAACCATTCCCATATCTCTTGAGGAAAGAAAGCACTTTTATTTATTTTTATTTTTTGGTCTTGTCTAAAATCAAAACCCTATGTGGTGAATCTGCTTCATTTCCCCCTAAGTATGTGTTGATGGAAACAAACACACGACTCACTGGTTCACTTGGTGCCTGTGTGTTAATGTGCAGCTGACTAAATCAATGTCACTTCATCCTGTTTTATTCACAACACATTACCCTGAATATGCTATCCCTGCTGTGAAATATGGCAGTGGCCGGACCATGCTGTGGGAATACATTTCTTAAGCAGTGATTAATCTAAATTAGGTTATTGGTTGCTGATTAATGGTTTCTCAAAGCACCAAAAACATTCCCCGTTCAACTTAAAAAAAATAATTCAGGCTCTTTCAACTGAGGTTTAGTGTTTATCAGTATTAATTACTTTTCCTGTTGAAGATGATTTTATATTACAATGAGCTTCTAAGACAAGACAGCAGTGGAAAGCCAACAGCTTCTGACCCTAGTTTTGAGTGATTTATAAATTTAAAACACAAACAACAAGAGATATCTATGGATTGGAACAATTTAGAATTAAATATTAAGCAGCAACACTATGAAAAGAGACTATTGATAAGTTCTTACAAGTCTGAAAAGGCTGCTGTCAGTGCAACAGAATGAAGTACTGAATCGTTCTGCCCTTTTGTAAATCTCGTAGTTGTTTGGATTTTGTCCAGGGAGACTCAAAGTGAACTCGCTGCTAATGAGATAGATTGATGCACAATGCAACTTTGTAAAGCTAAAGTAAAAATTGTGAAATATTTAGTAAAAAGCTGTCAGCCTTCCATCGCATTACGGAGTTACTCACTTTTCTATAACCTCAACGACATGACATGTTTCTCCTACGGGTAGGTAATTACTGATGATATATGCGCAGAATTAAATTTTTCTTTGGGATGAATTTTCAGTATATTATAGGGTTTCTGGACACATCAATCAAT